TTAATTCTTATAAGAATGTATATGTAATTTTTATTCAAATTTATAAATTTTCATGGAAAGGTTTTATTCGCTGTACGTGTATAACGTCTAATACCTATTTCTTATTTAGAATTAATTCTACTTTATAGTTTACCTCTGTTAATTTTTCAACAATCGTAAAAGGACCTATATATTTGTTAGCTAACTTTTTTGTTTTGTTTGGTTCCTGAAAATCGAATTGTATTAATACCTTCTGTCCTGGTTTGAAGTTAATGTCTTTGTGTTTTTGATCGTATAACTTTTTCTGGATTGATTGTTCGTTTTTTATTATTCCTGGTATAGTTTCTCTAATTATCTGTAATTGTTTTAGAGATTTTGTAAGATTAAATGTTTCTTTTTCTCCAGACATTAATTTGTTGTCCAATGGTTGATTAGCTTCCATGCCATGTAGTAAATAAAATGGGCTGACTTTTAGTCTTGAGCTAGGACAAGTATTATATGCAAAAACTACCATTTTATAGTATAAGGACCATTGATTTTCATTTTCATTTACGTAGTGCATTAGGCTACAAATAACTTTATTCATTAGTTCAGTCATACCGTTCGTTTGTGGATGGTAGGCACTTGAGAATATTTGTTCAATTCCTAGTTTTTTGCATGCATACTCTACTTCTTTGTTTTTAAAGTGAGTGCCTCTATCACTACAAAAATATTTAGGGACTCCGTAAGATGTTATTAGTTCCATAAGGAAATTTATCGTGGCTGCTCCGTTTGCATTCGTAACTGCTTTCGCAAAGGCCATCTTTGTTGCGTTGCAGGTTGCTACAATAATATATTTTTTTCCGTTGGACGTTGGTAATGGGCCTAGATAATCAAATGTTAGTCTTTGTAACGGCTTTCCCGAAATTAAAGGTATTGGTTGTAGTAGTCCGTTGCTTTTACCTGGAGGCTTTTTGGAAAGCTAACATGATGTACATGTTTTTATAAAAGAATAAGTATCTTGTATAATGGTTGGCCAGTAATATTTTTCTTTTAATTTTGATAAAGTTTTCGTAATACCAAAGTGTGCTGAAAAAACGGATTCGTGGTAGGACTTTAAGACAGTATTTACCAAATTAGTCGGAATAACTAATAAATATTTTATGCCATGTGGTGACCAATTTTTGAAGTATAGTAGTTTGTCTTTAATAATATATTTTCTGGATTTTTTATAGTATTTATTTTTAGTATCTCCTGATAAGGATAAAATTATGTTTTTACAATATTCGTCTGTTGACTGTAATGTTCTCAGTGTCTCAGGTTCTATTGTGTCGAAATTAATTGTGTCTATATTTTCTTTGTCGTCGTCATCGTTTAACTTATCAGAAATTTTCGTTATATTAACGGGGTAACGCGAGAGACAATCTGCAGCCGTGTTCCATGAGCCTGGGCGATGTTTTATTTCAAGATCGTATTCTAAGAGTTTAAAAATAAATTTTGTAATACGAGATGATGGGTTTTTCATCGTTTGATAATACTGTAAGCTGGAATGATCGCTAAACACAGTTATTTTTCTCCCTAAGAGATATTCTCTGAAGTGGTTTGTCACAAATACTACAGCCGACATTTCCAATTCTGTAGTTGTATAGTTCTTTTCACCTCCTTTTAATTTTCTAGAAGCATAGGCTATAGGATGCCTTTTACCGTTGTTGTCTTCTTGTTCCAGTATACCAGACAATCCTTCTAGCGAAGCATCAGTGGTAACAAAAACTGGGTATCCATCTTTGAAATGTGCCAGAACTGGTGCTGTGGTTATGGCCTTTTTTAAAATTTCAAAAGCTTCTACCTGTTCTTTTCCCCAAACAAATTTATTATCCTTTTTTGCTAAGCTTGTCAAAGGGTTTGCTATTTTTGCAAAATTGTTAATGTATTTCCTATAATAACTTGTAAGTCCAATGAAGGCTCTTACGTCTTTTATTTTATTTGGAGTTGGAAATGAAGTAATCGCTTTAATATTTTTTTCTAATGGTTTTATGCCTATGTTTGATACTGAGTGTCCAAGTAATTCAATATTTGAACTAAAAAAATTGCATTTATTTGTTTTTAATTTTAGACCCGCTTCTTCCAGTCTACTGAATATATCTTTTAAATTAGTTAGCGCTTCTTCAAAATTGGTTCCGAAACAACATATATCATCTAGGTAGGCTATTATTGTCCTGTACAGATAGTCACTGAATACATTATTTATTATTCTTTGAAAAATTTGTGCTGAATTTTTAAACCCTTGTGGTATCCTTTTGAAATTAAAAAGTCCAAAATCTGTTATGAATCCTGTTTTATTTTGGTCCTCTTGTTTTATCGGAATTTGAAAATACCCCTGGGCCATGTCTATAGAAGAGTAATATTGAGCCCCTTCCAGGCTTCTAAAAAGATCTTGTGATCGTGGAATTGGGTGTTTGTCGGGTTTCGTTTCGTTGTTCAATTTCCTATAGTCTACTAAGAATCGGTATTCCCCTTTTTCTTTCTTAGGAACTAAAAATACTGGAGCAGCGTAATTACTTTTACTAGGTTCTATTATGTCTGCGTTTATCATTTCTTCAATTAGAATTCTCAATTTATGTCTTTGTGCAGGTGAAACTCTGTATGGTGGTTGGAATATTGCTTTATCTGCTTTTAATTTAATTTCACATGGTTCTACCTTGGCGCAACCAATGTCTAAAGGATCTGATGTAAATAAATGTTTATAATTGTTTATAAGTCTTAAAGCCCTTTTCCTTTGTTCAGTATTTAATTCCTGTGATATTTTAATAACATTTCCTTGCTTATCCATAATGTCTTCAATGTTATCGTCATTATAGTTTTCTGTTGGTGTCTTATTAGTGGTGTTTATTTGCTCACATACTGTGTCGTCTTGTACCCTTGGTGTGTCAGTATTTATTAAATTCGCTATCGTCATTCCTCTCGGTATGTTACTATATAATTTTGAAAAATTGTAAATTGTGATTCCGTCATCAATGTTAAAGTATGTTGATTCCAATTTTAAATACTTATTTTTGCTTAAACTTTCTCTAAGTTCTATTACATAACTTTTGTTTTGTTCTTTTGTTTCTATATACATATTTTTTGTATTTATATTTATTTTACTTTTAGGTGATATCGTTATATTGTCTTTACATATGATTTTTCCAATATATTTTGTATTATAATTTATGCTGGCTATGTTATATTTGCTTTCTCTGTTGTTTGAATTATTATTCTCTTTGTAATAGTTATACCATACTTCGTTCATCGTTATGACATCGTTATTGATTTTTATGTTTTTGTTTTTGAAATTTATTAATAAATTATTTTTAATATTGAAATTATTCCCCAATAATATTTCGCAATTTAGCCCTTTTATAACAAATGCATCAATAAAATATTGCTGATTATTTATTTTAATCATTAAATTTATTTTTCCCACTTGATCCAATTTTGAATTGTTTGCGCCTGTTATCGTAACTTGTTCTTTGTTTTTTATGCATTGAAGGTTTTTGATTAGCGAAACATTTATACATGAAATATTTGATCCTGTATCAACTATGGCGTGTTTCTCAATTCCTTCGTGTTCTACATTTATTGACAATACTCTATGTCTATTATCATATTCAGTCCCGGTGTTTGTGCTTGTCTCTGTGCATTTTGTATGGTCTACATATTTATTCATGTAGTTTTGTACATGTACAATGATATTGCTACGTTCGGGAAAAATTGTGTTAACTATTATATTTGAGAATATTTGTTTTTATTTCGACTGCCGGCATCCAGTGATTATTTTTATAAAAAATGCCTATACTTGGCCTGATTGTTTATAGCATTTGAAGTGTCATTTTTTCAGCTATTATAAATAAATTCATGCCAAAATGGTCGCAAACATACGCTAAGTCGTCGTCTCTAAAATTGTAACCGGAGTTTATTTTATCAATAGTCAGCATGTTAATTATTTCTAAGGTAGTTTTTTTTATTCCATGTTGTAGTAAACAAATCCGTAGTGAATGTGCACCATCATCTCCATCGCAAGGTACTTCCTGTATTTTTATGAATGAGCCAGCGGTATGTTTAATTTTTCTTTCAGTTTCGTCATCACCTTCGTTTTTGTGATGTTTTTCTGAAGTATTATATTTAATTGCTGAATTGTATTTTTCGATGTTGTTTATTATAACAGTTTTGTTATGATTTCTTAATAGGTCAATGTTCTGATAATTGTTGATTATGCATTTCTTCGTTTCTTGTGTGTTGTGCCAGTTTTTTACGTAGTGTATATAATTATTTTTCTCTATACCTATTGTGTCATTAAAATTGTTACAGTTATATTCCCGAGTTAAACAATCCAATTTTTTTTTTCAACTCGGTACCTACTAGTTTTTTGTATTTGTACACTTATCGGCATAATGACCTTTTTCATTACACCTATAGCATGTAACTCTTTCCGATTCTTTATTATTGCGATCTCCCCTGTATCTTTCTGGTGTTTTCTCTCGACCATGTTCTCTGCTGTATTGATGCCTGTAGTTGTAATTGTAATTTCCATTATTGTCTCGATCTCTTGAATGTGATCTGTTTCTATAGCCTCTACCGTTGACTGTATTTAAGTTAGCTTCTCTATTACGTGAGTTATCTCTATATTCGTAATTGTTTGGATCATATCTATGGCTTGGATTTCTTTCGTAATCTCGATATGTATTAGGCTCGTTTTGTATTTTGTTGTAATATTGTCTCTCTCTGGACTGTGATCTGTCTCTACCATATTGTCTATTTCTGCTAGATTCTCTACTTCTGTCATTAAATCTTCCTGGGTATGGACTTTTATCTTTGTATTTACGTTGCCGTCCTCGATAATTTGTTTCTCTATTATAACTTCTGCTCCTATCTTCATTATAGTTATAATTTTTATTATTATATCGATTATCTATTTCTTCATCATCGAAGTTTACCGATTTATTTCTTCTTCCTGTAATGTTGATTTGTTGAATATTTTCCCGTAACTGGTTCATCTCCTTTTTTTATTCTCTATCTCTTTCTATTAACTGTCTTTTTAGTTCATCGATTTCTCTTCCTTTTTCTTTTGTTTTTTGGTTTAGTTGAGATACATGTTCACTAAGCATTTCTGTATAATCACTTAATTCTGGTCCTCTGTTATTAATTCGAAATTGCATCAATTCAAATTTTTTTAAATTTTTCTTTAGTTCCTTTAGGTTGCTATTGTCGTGTAATGAAATCGCATGTAAGACTGTCTCTTTTAATCCCTTTAAAATATAAGTGCAAATTTCTTCTTCCTGTATATTTTTATTTAGTTGTCTACATATATTTTCTATTTCTGTTACAAAACTCATTATAGACTCTGTATCTCCTTGACGTCTATTTTCTAATCTAGTTTTTAAAATTGTATTGTAACCGATTGGTTGAAATTCGTCGAGAAACTCCTGTTTCAAATCATTCCATGTCCAATTATTATGTTTGTCCTCCAAATTTTCCAAAAATATGCTTGCTGTACCTTTTACGAATATCGATAAAAATCTTACTGTATCTTCGTCCTTCCAACCGTTTACATCTGCTGCTTTTTCGTATTGCTTGAAATATTTTCTTACGTCTTCATTACCTGAGAACTGGTCTGGTCGAATCATTAGAATTTTTTCTGTCATTATCTGTGTTTGTTTATTTAACAGAGTAGAATGAATTTCAGAGTTTAGGTTATCTCCTTTTTGATTATTTTTTTTTATTGCTGTGTTTTCGTTTTTGAATTTTGGTTTTTCACTTGTGTTATTAGAATCAATAGTTGTTGAATTATTAAGATTTATTAACTTATTTTCAATAATCTCACTATTTTCTGGTTGAGTATTTAATTTTATTTCCTCATAAATATTATTAGAAGTATCATTAATCTTAAGATTTTTTAATATATTTTCATAAGTATCAGAACTTTCCTTTTGACAATTTTGGTAAGTTATATCTGAATTTGTTAGAATATTTTCGGTGTTATTCACAAATGAGCTTGTACTGGCATTAATATTATCGTATAATTTTAAATTATCTTTTGATATTTCTGAAAAGCTGTCTGAAGTTAATTTATTAATTGTATTTGTGTCAGTGCTCGAATCGCTCGAATCAAGTATTCCTGCTTCTTTTTCTAATTTATTAAAATCGATTTTATTAGTTTTTGCTTTGATTAAAATTAAATCGCATTCTTCTTTGCTTAATGTGTTATCTATGTCGTCTAATGTTATGGTGCCTTTTAAGTATCTACTAAGTCTAGCTCTTAATTCACTAGTTGTACCTGTTGATTTAAATTGTTTATTTTCGCAATATTTAATAAGAAATGGTTTTTTGAGAGTATAGATTTCTGTTGCAGTATTTATTGTTATAGAAAGATCCGATTTAGGGTCTTTAAGTTGATTCATTAATTTATAAAATTTGAAAAATTAATTTAAATAATCCTAAATCTATACTTGGACATTTTAACGGTTTTTAATTATGTTTATCTTCAATTACTAAAATTATATACCTACTTTATAATT